TGAAATGAGGGGGCTCCAAATAGTTCATGGAGAACTCCATCGTCTTTCAATTGCCTCATTCTGTGAACAATTTTGATTGAGGAATTGCTGAATAAAGGAAGGTCGAATATGCGTTTCCCAACAGTCACATCTCTTTCCTTTTAAATTGTGAGTCAATTAAGAAACTGTCAGTAGTGCACCATTCAGATATGGTGGCAGGCTACGCAGCTCTAAATGTTTGTTGCTCTCCAGAGTCCTATAACATAGCCAGTCTGTGATGTAAGACTTGGTATCCGTGCAGGTGTTTGGTGTTGTAGGAGTGTGCAGAGTGACACGTTCATATTGGTGGTTTGCTCACCATCCTTGAATGCAGTACCAGTGATTGTTTCTTCACCAAATCAAATCCTATTAAAGCAACAGTTTTGATTGCTATACAATCTGGACACTTTTCTCATTTATGTTGGAAATTGCTGAGTCATTCCAAAGTGGTTGAATCCCTGAAGCCGACAGATGTATATGTGTTGTGTTTGCCGAGTCAGTTCTGACTTTTAGCAACCCTTTGTTGACGTTCCAAGGAGTAGGTGTTATTCCATGCCATGGAGTCGTTCTACTTTGTGGGTCAAATCTAGCTTGCAGCCTAGTGTTAATCCTTCATCAGGACCCATGTATATGTGTATATGTGTATATTCCTGGTTGTAAAACGATGAGTGCCGTGAAAATTCACGTAAGAACGTTTTCGTCACTGAAATGTTTCGAGCATATTTCACTTGGAGACAATGAGCAGGAAGTCGTACACATTGACGGCAATGGTAGTCATTGTCCTAGATGAATCTTGAGACAATTCAGGAAAAAGACATGCGTGTTCACTGTGTTCGGTAATGCTGTCATGCGACAACATTTGTTTCCAACATGATAACTGACTTTTTTTTTCTTGTCACCTTGTTGAAAATGGAGTAGTTTGCAGAGGACACCATTGGTTTACATTTACACTACCTGTTTTTAACAGAATTGGTGCAATCAAGAACCTGGGTGAACGTTGTGAACACAACCAGTGTGGGGAAACTTCCAGCCCGATTCCTGGTCTTTCTGTGCACCAAGTACATCCCACAGAAGTAGATCCTTTTGAACGCTTTGAGTATGGAGGAGCCTTCCTGGATGATTCCCTAGAGAACAATCGAAGTAGAGCTCACACTAGAAGCAGTACCTGTCAGTGTACAGACTGTGGAGAAGACTGCAGGTGTCCTTCTCACCTGACCACACCTGTGAGCACTCATGGTGGGAAAAATACTCATAAATGTAAGATAAGTGGAGACAGGCTGCATGACTATACGGAGTGTGGGAAAGTCTCTGGTGAAGCGTCACTCCTCCCTGGACTTACAGGAACTCACAGTGCACAGAGGCCATTTGAATGTGAAGAGTGTGGGAAATCCTTTAGGGATTCCTCACAGCAGAGTCGACATTTGCAAACTCACAGTGGAGACAGGCTCTATGAATGTAATCAATGTGGGAAAGCTTTTAGCCTCGCCTCAAGGCTCACGAGACATAAAACAGTCCACAGTGCAAAGAGGCCTTATGAATGTAAGGAGTGTGGGAACACTTTTAGGTATGCCTCAGAACTGACTGCACATAAAAGAATCCACAGCGGAGAGAAGCCTTATGAATGTAAGCAATGTGGAAAAGCCTTTAGACTGTCCTTACAGTGCAGTAGACACATGCGGACTCACAGTGGAGAGAGGCCCTATGAATGTAAGGAATGTGGGAAAGCCTTTGTTAATGTCTCAGGCCTCATAGTACATAGAACAATTCACAGTGGAGAGAAGCCTTACAAATGTAAGCAATGCGGGAAAGCCTTCAGATTTTCCTCAGAGTGCAGGAGACACATGCAAACCCACAGTGGAGAGAGGCCCTATGAATGTAAGGAGTGTGGGAAAGGCTTTCTAACATCCTCAAGCCTCAGAACACATACAATAATCCACAGTGGAGAGAGGCCCTATAAATGTAAAGAATGTGGAAAAGCCTTTAGAAAAACCGCACATCTTACAGCACATAGACTAATCCACAGTGGAGAGAAGCCTTATGAATGTAAGGAGTGTGGGAAAGTCTTTAGAACAACTTCAGAACTTAAAACACATCGAGGAATTCACAGTGCGGAGAGGCCCTATGAATGTAATGATTGTGGAAAAGCCTTTAGAACAACTGCACATCTTAAATCACATAGAATAATCCACAGTGGAGAGAAGCCTTATGAATGTAAGACGTGTGGGAAGGCCTTTAAAAGCACCTCATACCTTAGAATACATAGAAAAATCCACAGTGCAGAGAAGCCTTATGAATGTAAGGAGTGTGGAAAAGCGTTTAAAACAACTTCCCACCTTACAACACATAGAGGAATCCACAGTGCGGAGAGGCCCTATGAATGTAAGGAGTGTGGGAAAGGCTTTCTAACACCCTCAAGCCTCAGAACACATACAATAATCCACAGTGGAGAGAGACCCTATGAATGTAAAGAATGTGGCAAAGCCTTTAGAACAACCTCACATCTTACAGCACATAGAATAGTCCACAGTGGAGAGAGGCCCTATGAATGTAAGGAGTGTGGGAAAGCCTTTAAAAGCCCCTCATACCTTAGAATACATAGAAGAATCCACAGTGCAGAGAAGTCCTATGAATGTAAGGAGTGTGGGAAAACGTTTAGAACAACTTCACAACTTAAAACACATAGAGGAATCCATAGTACGGAGAGACCCTATGAATGTTTGGAATGTGGGAAAGCCTTTAGAAGAACTGCACACCTTAGCAGACATGAAAGAATCCACAGTGGAGAGAGGCCCTATGAATGTACGGAGTGTGGGAAAGCCTTTAGAAGATCCTCACATCTTACAGCACATAGAAGAATCCACAGTGGAGAGAGGCCTTATGAGTGTAAAGAATGTGGAAAAACCTTTACTTGTGCCTCTTCCCTCAGTATACATATGCAAATTCATACTGGAGAGAGACCTTATGAATGTAA